CGATAGAAATAGACCTTCTGCTGCTCTGCAGCCCTGTGCTTCCTCCTTGGTCCCCGTAATTTCTAAACTTCCCTAAGCCTGTCCTGTGTTTCAAGCGGAACAGCGTCAGGCAGTGTACGCGGGCCGCAAGGGTCCCGGGTGCCGGTGGGGAGCATTCCGTCCCCTTGCGACGGAATGCTCACGCTGCAGGGGCGGCGAGGCCCTCTGCACAGAAGTTGGCGGGAGGGGAGGGGTGGCCCACGTTTTCTCTGCTGCTCTCAAAAGGCTCCCTTTCATCTGTCTGCGCTCATGTGAACTGTGGGTGGCAAGATTGTCCGCGCACATTGCCTGTGTGCCCCCGAGAAAGACCCCAGGGCCCCCACACCTGCCTCAGGGCAAAGGGAAGGGCAGTCCCAAAGGGAACGTGCCTTTATGGCCGCTTGAGTGCACAAGTCCCATCTGGGCCTGGGAGCCAGCTGCTGCCGGACACAGCGGGGCCACGGGAGGAGATGATCCCCAACCAGCAGCATCTGTTTCCTTCTCGCCGGCGCCTGGGGTTCGAGGCAGTTTCCGGGAACTGTTTCACCTACTTCAGTGAGGAACAGGCATGTTTGCTGAATGGGAAACGGGGACATGGGCCCCTTCCTGTCCCCCCCCCCCATTCCCACCCCATGGGGGTACAGTGAGGCCACCAGTGATGTGTAAGCAGGCTGTGAGGCCGTGGGAGCCTGGCCGGCTCCTTGGACTAAGAAAGGCCACGGAGAAACCGCTTCTGGGCGTGAGTCGGCATGGTCGCCGCTTGCCCCAGGACACAGCTCCTCAGTCCCCCACGGGCCCTGCCGGGCTTGTCTTCTGTCTCCTATAGAGCCTCGCTGTGGGGAGTCTGGGCTGCGGCAAAACAACGGCACCGGCGCCGGCAGGCGGTCCCCGGTGCGACCCATGTGCAGGCCGTGTGGGACACGGAGGAAAACGTGGGTGCAAAGGTAAGTCCTGCTAGGAACACACATGTCTCGCAGCCGGTGCTCTGGGCTCTTTGCCTGATACGTGCCATGGCCGAGTGCATTTCGTGTCTACATGTTTAGTGACATGAAAGCAACCGCTGCAGGTAGGAGGGGGTGAGCATTCGGAGTAGGTGAGGAGCTCTGGGGTCTTGGGCTGGAGGACAGGTCAGACCCAAGCCACCTCTGCTTCCTTCCTCTGTCAAATGTCCTGAGAGCGAACCTGACAGAGCCTCAGGGACTCCACGGAGAACTGTGGTCCCCTGTTTGAGCCACGTGTGCCACCAGGGTCCAGCCAGGGGATAGGCCCCTCGCCGGGTGTATCGACCAGAGAGGATTTTTAACTCAGCCAAGTAAGGTAGGAAAGGGCAAGTGGGGAGAAAGCACAAGGTTGCCAGGTCTGATTGGGTGACATGTAGCTCCCCGCCACCTGTGAACGCTGTCCCCAAGGACGGGGTCCCGGCACACTGGGCCCCCTGTCGGGTTAGTGGCTTCTGCACCCAAGTGTCTCTGGGAAGGTGTGATCCGGCTCGGCCTGCTGGTCTGCGGGCAAGGAGCCCGGCTGTTAGATCCCTAAAGGCAAAGCACAAGAACAAAAAGAGGCAGAGAGAAAATGAAGACGATCAGAGCGTGTTTTCCGTGTTAGGACCCGGTTTCAGTTGTAGACTACAACCCGCCCCGGCCATGGCAGTCCCTTGAGGACTTGCAAAGCTTCGGCTTGGCGGTCAGTCCCCGCCCGGGGGGCAGCTAAGTCCTCCCTGAGAGCGTGCTCGCGTGTCCCGGGAGCTCCCACGTGCTCCTGGGGCCCCAGGAAGTCACGTGGGGAGTCTGTCCCCCCTCCCGGCAGCTTCCTGGAAAAAAAACCAATTCCAAATGGGCCTTCTGCGGCCAGGGTCTCGCCATGCCGGCCTGGAGGTCTCTGCTGGTCGCCTTGGGCCTTGCTGGAGACTCCCCCCCCCCCCCCCACGTTCGAGCCGGACGCGAGACGCTCCGAGGTGAACGAGATGAATTTGGGGGTCTTGGGGGGCAGCGGTGGTCTCTCGACCCCGCCCCTGCCCCCGCCCCTTCAGATGCACCTTTGTTTGACTTTTATCCCATCGGCAGTCGCTACCTTGCCGTCACTTTTCTATAGCTCCGGAGCCAGGTAAGGGCTAAAATTTGATCTCGATGCCCGAGGCAGAGTTCCAGGAGCCCGGAGGCGATATCCGATTGCCCCCGGTTACTCTCCGTTTCAAAAATTCATCCCGTTCTTGGGAGATTGTACCACCAGATATATAAGGTGTGTGCGCCTCAGGGCGATTCCTGGCTGAGATGTGAGTGCCCTGGGGGCCGGGGGCCAGCACCTCCGGGGTCCGCCCCGGGTGCTGCTTATCCCCAGGGCTCGCCCGCTCCTGGGAGCGCCCATGGGCCGGTCCGTAGGGAGCCGCAGGAGCCCACCCGGCCGTGGGGAGGGCCTCCGACCTCCCGGGTCTGCCTGCTCGGTCTGCCGTGGGGGCCGAGTTGGGTGCCGGCCCGCGGGTCTGCCTGCTCGCTCGTGGAAGCGCCCGAGGGCCGCGTCCAAGGAGCCGCAGAGCCCACAAGGCCGTGGGGGCCGAGTTGGGTGCCGGCCCGCGGTTCGAGACTGCTCGCTCGTGGGAGCGCCCGAAGGCCGCGTCCAAGGAGCCGCAGAGCCCACAAGGCCGTGGGGGGGCCTCCGACCTCCCGGGTCTGCCTGCTCGGTCTGCCGTGGGGGCCGAGTTGGGTGCCGGACCGGGGTTCGAGACTGCTCGCTCGTGGAAGCGCCCGAAGGCCGCGTCCAAGGAGCCGCAGAGCCCACAAGGCCGTGGGGGCCGAGTTGGGTGCCGGACCGGGGTTCGAGACTGCTCGCTCGTGGAAGCGCCCGAAGGCCGCGTCCAAGGGGCCGCAGAGCCCACAGGGCCGTGGGGGCCGAGTTGGGTGCCGGCTCGCGGGTCTGCCTGCTTGCTCGTGGAAGCGCCCGAGGGCCGCGTCCAAGGAGCCGCAGAGCCCACAAGGCCGTGGGGGCCGAGTTGGGTGCCGGACCGGGGTTCGAGACTGCTCGCTCGTGGAAGCTCCCGAGGGCCGCGTCCAAGGAGCCGCAGAGCCCACAGGGCCGGGGGGGCCGAGTTGGGTGCCGGCCCGCGGTTCTAGACTGCTCGCTCGTGGAAGCGCCCGAGGGCCCCGCCCCGTCCTAGAAGCCGCAGAGCCCACAAGGCCGTGGGGGGGCCTCCGACCTCCCGGGTCTGCCTGCTCGGTCTGCCGTGGGGGCCGAGTTGGGTGCCGGCCCGCGGGTCTGCCTGCTCGCTCGTGGAAGCGCCCGAGGGCCGCGTCCAAGGAGCCGCAGAGCCCACAGGGCCGTGGGGGCCGAGTTGGGTGCCGGCCCGCGGGTCTGCCTGCTCGCTCGTGGAAACGCCCGAGGGCCGCGTCCAAGGAGCCGCAGAGCCCACAAGGCCGTGGGGGCCGAGTTGGGTGCCGGCCCGCGGTTCGAGACTGCTCGCTCGTGGGAGCGCCCGAGGGCCTCGTCCAAGGAGCCGCAGAGCCCACAAGGCCGTGGGGGGGCCTCCGACCTCCCGGGTCTGCCTGCTCGGTCTGCCGTGGGGGCCGAGTTGGTTGCCGGCCCGCTGGTCTGCCTGCTCGCTCGTGGAAGTGCCCGAGGGCCGCGTCCAAGGAGCCGCAGAGCCCACAAGGCCGTGGGGGCCGAGTTGGGTGCCGGACCGGGGTTCGAGACTGCTCGCTCGTGGAAGCGCCCGAAGGCCGCGTCCAAGGAGCCGCAGAGCCCACAGGGCCGTGGGGGCCGAGTTGGGTGCCGGCTCGCGGGTCTGCCTGCTCGCTCGTGGAAGCGCCCGAGGGCCGCGTCCAAGGAGCCGCAGAGCCCACAAGGCCGTGGGGGCCGAGTTGGGTGCCGGACCGGGGGTCGAGCCTGCTCGCTCGTGGAAGCTCCCGAGGGCCGCGTCCAAGGAGCCGCAGAGCCCACAAGGCCGTGGGGGCCGAGTTGGGTGCCGGACCGGGGTTCGAGACTGCTCGCTCGTGGAAGCGCCCGAAGGCCGCGTCCAAGGAGCCGCAGAGCCCACAGGGCCGTGGGGGCCGAGTTGGGTGCCGGCTCGCGGGTCTGCCTGCTCGCTCGTGGAAGCGCCCGAGGGCCGCGTCCAAGGAGCCGCAGAGCCCACAAGGCCGTGGGGGCCGCGTTGGCGCCCACCCGAGGGTCTGTAGCGATATGCCCAGTTGCTCTTAAGGAGCCTTTCATGATTAAGGCGGCTTCATTGGTTCATTCTGAGATTTGGTATCCCCAGGGCTGTGGGGTTGTTTTGGCAAATGGCTGTCATAGCAGCGCCCTCAGGAGCCCCCTTGGGGGGGGCTCCTTGGAGAACCGGAGGGGAAGGGTGCCGTGCTGCTACGAAATGGGGCCGGCGTGGACCCTGCAGGGAACGAGTGGAGGGCATTGGCAGGCTTGTCCACGGACACTGGGTGCCGGTCATCTGGTGAGGCTTTTCTGGGGCTTGTTACCGAGGTGGGGGCCGGCCCACGGTATACTCGGAACGCGTGTAGGACGCTGCGGTCCTCCGGAGGCGCGCTCCTTCATGGAATTTCCCTGGGATCCGGGGATGGCGCGGAGGTGTAAGGGGCTAGGGCCCCAGTGCCTGAGAGAGCCCCAGGGGTCGCTGCTGGGTCTCGGTGCTTACGTGTAGTGGGAAGCTTGTGCTTTTACAGGGAGATGGGCCTTTGCTTTAAGCAATTCCCGACCCAAGCGTGTGTGGCTGGCCCAGCCCAGGAGGGCAAACCAGGTCTTGTGGACACAGGGATTCCGTGTGTGGTTCAGCCCTGCCACCGGCTGCAGAGCGCGGGATCGGCCTTTTCTGGCCTGAAGGGGAGAAGGGCGAGCTCCCTAGAGTTGATCGCAAACGAATTGGTTGGCTCTCTGGGCGCAGGGCTCGGGCTTGTACTGGCCCACTGGCCTGCCTCTGCCCTTGCCTCTGAGGCGGCCCACGCGGGGCCTGGCATTCATTCGTTCTCCCGGGGGCCCTTGTGTGCAACCTGGTGCGGCTTAGCAAGCCCCACCTGGCGGGCTCCGCTCCGCTCCGCAGGTGTCTTCAACCTCTTCCTCGGGCTGCCGCCCCACTCTCGCGAGAGAAAAGCGTTGTGAGGCTCACGCTCCGATTTCCGCTTGCCGCGTCCCGGAAGGCTATTCGCGCAGAGGGCGGGCGCCTTTGCTGTGCGGTTGACACTCGTTCTCCGTGTTGCAGGCCGTGCAAGACACGCTCGGAGGCTTGACGGGTTTGGGCACCTCCTTTGCGGCCGGCTTGTGCGCCCTTGGGGCCCCGTGGAGCAAAAGGCGTGGGGCTGTGGCTCGCACGCGGGTGTTAGGCCAGGTGCTTGTGGTCCCTTTGTTTCCTCCCTGGGGGAGGTGGAGGTAAGTGTGGCGGCGCAGATGAAGGGGGGCAGCAGCCACAGACGCCCGTGCTCCGAGGGGAACTGGACCCCGGCTGTTCCACGCCCGGGGGGGGGAGGCCCACCCGGTTAGAGGTGTGTGGAAAGGCAATTTGAAGTTGTATGGGAAAGGCGACCTGGGGAGAGAGGCCGTGGAGAGTGGTGTTTTCTGGGCTTTCCTGGGGCTCATTTGTTGGGCCTAGGAGACAAGTCCCCGGTGAGGCTCATAGAAGGGCACCGCGGTAGTAGCGGTTTGTCAAAGCCCACAAGCAGACACGGGCAGACCCCTGCGGGTGCTGGTGGTCGAGGGTCCCTGGCGGTTGGGTGCCAGCTTCCTCAAGCCTACGGGGGCCGGCACAAGCGGTGAAGGGAACCCAAGGAGTTAGGGGTTTGTGCCACCAGGTTAGGTTAGTAGGAGAACCCTGCGCTCGGTGGCTGGCGGCCAGCTTGGCGTTCTGTGGGTTGGACCACGCCTCGGTCAAACGTTGTGCCTCGTTGATCCCACTTTGCTCGCCCCCTCCTCGGGGCTGCTTGCGGGCTCCGGTGCCCGAAGGCGGGTGAGTGCGGTGCTCACCCGTGTGAAGCTTTGCGGCTTCGTTGGCTTGGTCTTAGGCTTTTTCCCCCCTGCGAAGCTGTCCCACATTTCCATCTTCCCCGTTTCTCTTCCCCCGAAGCAGCAGCGGGTGAGGGGAGAACGTGGGAGGAGCGTGGGGGGTGGCTAAAGGGGGAGTGGTGGGTAGGGTGGGTGGCTTTCTGGGGTCGACCAGATAGCCCATCCCGAGCTGGGGTTGACCAGATGTCCCAACGAAATCGGGTCGACCAGATGGCCCAACGAAAATCGGGTCGCCCAGATGGCCCAGCGAAATCCGGCTGCGAGAACGGGGGAAGCGTCCGGGGCTGGTGGGCGACCCCTGCAGGGCTCTCCCGAGCCCCGTTCTGGAGGAAAAAGGGCCGGCTCCGGCCTTAGATATCCCTCCGCCGCACCAGGTCTTCCAGCAGGCCCCAGGGCGGCCAACACGGCCGCTCCCAAGTGACATCTAACCGCGGAGGGATTTTTTTGTTTTGTTCCTTTTTTCCCAGAGATGACAGTCAGTCCAAGCAAAAGCGGCCCCCCAACTGCACGCACACACGCCCGGGGCTCCCCGGGGACGTCCGTCCGTGCCGTGGGCAGGTCGCAGTTGGTCACAAACGGCATTTCTCACCTCCAGGCCCGTTTCTGCATGTACGCACGCCCCAGTGGGAAGAGCAGAAACGGGCCTGGAGGTGAGAAATGCCGTTTGTGACCAACTGCGACCTGCCCACGGCACGGACGGACGTCCCCGGGGAGCCCCGGGCGTGTGTGCGTGCAGTTGGGGGGCCGCTTTTGCCTGGACTGACTGGCATTCCCGGAAAAAGAAAACCCCCTCCGCGGCTGTCAGTCACTTCTGGGGCCTGCTGGAAGACCTGGTGCGGCGGAGGAGGGATGTCTAACCTTGGAGCCGGCCTTTCCCCCCCCCCCCAAAAACGCGCCTCGGGAGAGCTCTGGGTCACCCACTACCCCCGGACGCTTCCCCCGTTCTGGCGGCCACATTTTGTTGGGCCATCTGGTCGACTCGATTTTGTTGGGCCATCTGGTCAACCCCAGCAAGCTAGCTGCACTTTTTACAACTTTTTTCTTTCTTTTTTCCTTTACTAGGGGCCAAATACACGACCTCGTGTATCTTGAAAGGGATTGGGGGCTGCAAGGTCACCCCAGGCCAGTCTGCTGGCAGCCCCACTCCCACCGGCACAGAGCAGAGCGATTGGGGCCACCAGCAAGCGGTGCGAGTGGCAGCTACTGCCCCAGTTGCCCCGCAGGAGCGAGCAGGAGGAGGTGGAGAAACCCTCAGGAGCACCGGGGCCAGCGGCCGGCACTGGCAGCGGGGGCGAATGACAGAGACCAGCACCCCAAGCTGGGCGGGTGCCCCTGAGTACCAAGGTAGGTTTTGGGTGTTTTTTAGTGTGTGTTGCAAGTACTAGGCTTCTCAAATTCACAGCCAAGGGGCCACAGGCCTTGGACACCCCCTGCCTCCAAGGGGGTCAGAGATCCCCTAATGCTCTCCTTGTGCCATTTCCTATGGGAGGGCGGGGGGGGGGGGGTGTAAATCCTCTTGGAGGAATGTCTTTTAGTTCTTTTTGCTTTTCCCTACTTCTCTAATGCCTGCCTTCCCCAAGTCTGTAAGCCTTGGGGACCCCCCTTCCCCCAGCATGATTTCTTTTTAACCTATATGCTTCAAGCAATTAGTCCGAGAAAAGGGCTAGTGCCAACTGGTGGGTTACCGGCACCTGGGCAGCCTCGTTCCGGGTTCCAGGCGAGCCGGGTGGAGCCTCTGCGCTGGAAGGAAGAGGCAGGTCAGCCTGCATTTCCTTTGGTCGGGACGCACTGGCTCACAGCTCGTCCTCCATCCTCGGTACTTCCTTTCCCTCCCCTAGGGCCCCCGACAAACCTTTCAAAAGCCATCTCAGCCCTGGGCGAAACCCAACAGCCTGTCCCTGCTCTCTCCTTCAGTCCCCTAAAGAGACGCCCCAGCAGGCCGGGCCATGTGAGACCCACAGCTTGACAGGGAATGTGTGCTCCGTCAGGACACATGACAGCCGCCACGTGCACACGGTGGCTGAAATGCTGCCGGGAGAGCCACTCACAAGCAAAAATCCAAGCCCAAGACATTTCTTGAAACCCCTTCCTGGCTCCCCCATAACAAATCGCACAGGAGAGCTTGCCCTCAGCTGAAAAGACGCTGCCAAAAACCCCTGACTCCGGGACTCGCCCCCATGCACAGTGTTTCCCCGTTAAACCTCAGACCCTGTGGGTGGCTGAGGAACCCTACCTGTCGTAGTTTCTCTTGTGCCTTTCCTACTTGGGCATCTAATTCTTCCCGCATCTTGAGGCGCGGGGAGAGAAGAATGGGGAAGGAAGGTAAAGCACCCTGTGTGCCTCGGAACTCTCCAGAGTCCACTCGATTCCAAACACGTGGGACATCCCCCCCCCCCCCATTTTCTGGCCGATTCCGGGGGAGATGGCTGCCCCACGGCGCCAGAAACTCCCAGAGATGCCTATTTCTGCCACCTTCCCCCCCCCCCCCCACGCCCCCCCAGTTGCAAATCCAGAGACACCTGGAGAGGCCTGAGCCCTGAAATGCAAGTGCTCTGACGGCACGCTCGGCTGTCAGTCCACCCGGTGCCCAGGTTGACCAGAATTCCAGAAGACAGCCCGGAAAGATCACGTCTTCTGACACTTTGTCCTTCCTTGTTGCCCACACAGCCAACAAGCCAAGAGACTGACTGGGCGTGCAGGCCCACGGCCCACGGGGAAGGAGAAGGAGAAGGCTTACGGAATTTCAGGACATCTGCTCCCCCCCCCCCCAACCTCAGGAACCATGGTGACTCCGATGCATGAGCACGTGTGTTTGATGCTGCTGCTATGGAAACGGTAGCATCGGGTCTGATGGGTGAGAAGGCCACCCTTTCAGAGGCAAGGATTGTGAAAACCAATGAGCGCCTGGTGATGAATCAGAATAGAGGGAGTGGGAAGACCTAACCGACCCACACGCGGGTTTTCCTGCTCCACTCACTCACCACTCACTCCAGGCCTGAGGTCACTCGGGGCTAATCCTCCTCCGGGAAGCACCTCTGCCCCCGGAAAACCGATCGCGTGTTCGTTGCCCGTTCCGTTCTGGAAGCTTAAAAGTGGTTTTTTTTTTTTTCAGTCCCTAACACCATAAGCCAATTCCCATCC